GGGGGTAGGAACCGTCAATTTTACGAACGGGGCACCGGAGCACCCCCGGGTCATCCACAAAATTATGGCATGAGTAGTAATAAAAGGGGGTGTCATTCTTTTTGGAAAAAAGCATAGTCTGTATGGTTCACAGAATGAAAATAAAGGGCATAAACGTACAAACATATATAAAGCCTATTCCTTGGTTTCTATATTTAACATAAAAGAACAGTTAATACCAATTGATCAATGGGGAAATCCATATCATTTTTCATTCATTACCAGTTTTGTGAGCCAAACATGTTAAATTAAAAGCCCCCTTTCATGATTATTGGATCACTATAGGTATTCTCATCTAATCTACTCCAAAAAGTCTTATGCAATTATTAATTTTTGGCAAGCATTTAACATTATGAAGAGGTTAGCTCCAAAAGAATTTGGGGTGAACATCCACTATATGACATGTATCTATTACTCGAAAGGAAAAAAATATTTGTTTCAATAGATGCAGATGCAACTTATGTGGCTATGCCAATTGTCAATATTCTAAATCATACCTGGTCTGGATGCTTGCTGCAGCATCTGAATTTTCGGTATCCGAATCAGAACTCGAATCAGAACTTGAATCATCTGTAGCTAGATCTCTAGATTCTATAGCTTTCTCTAATGCTAAAGTCAATTTTTTTATGATAGTTGGTGAACAACAGCAACACTCCCAACCAGATGATTTAATTCCTGACAGAAGTTCCTTGCCGAGATTCCTTTGTATGCATAAACTACAGAATAATGCTTTGCACAGCCTACAACTTAACAAATCACTGCTCCGTCCGCACCATCTACAGTAGCACTCTGAACAATCAATATCCTGCAAACCATGTAAGGAAGACATACACAATATGAAAATTGTGAGACTGATGCTGGAAATCACACACCACATCATAAGATACACTCTTACCTTCATCTTTGCTACCATCAAGGTTTTGCAATCCATACAGACAATAACATCCAAAAGTGGATGTCGATGTACTTCGTTAGTAAGCTTATCACAAGCAGTGCAACAAAAAGTTTTGTTCTCATTCATCACAGGAAGAGAATCTGAAGGCAACATATCCACTTTATAACCTTCTGAATTCCATTGATCCATCGTCGTACTCAAATCACAAGCTGGAGAAGATCTATCAGCAGCAAGATCTTCGTCTTCCCCCTCAGAATCTACAATAATGACCTGACGCTTTCTATTTTCAGCATCAGATTC